CCCCCCCCCCCCCCCCCCCCCAAACACACACACAGAGCTCCTCCTCCTAAGCAAATGGCAGTATCACAGTACCTTACCCACAGAAAAGGCTTCCCTGCCTGGATAGTATGAGCACACCCCCTCATGGGCCTCCATGAGAATAGGAATCAGTGGTCACACACACACACACACCAGGATCCATTTTGTTCATCTCTTAAGGAATCAAGGTTTGTTTTATTTACCCTAAAGTGTTTGTGAAGTATAGCACACATAGGAGTGCAAGCAAGTGTCCAGTGGCTGTATATTTGCAAAATGGACACACTTTGCAGCCACCATCCAGATGAGAAAGCAGATGAAGGCAGGCGGTCCCCCAAAGCCCTCATGCTTTCTGCACCCACTCCCTTTCAGGGATAACTCCCTGAGTCTGTCAGTTCAGGCCACTTGTGCCTTTTTCTGTACTTTATATAAATGGAAGCATACAGTAGAGACCCAGACCTATAATAGATTTGCTTACCAAACTGCATTTGATTTCTCACACCGTCATCGAACTATGGGCATCTCACTTTTGGTTCAAAGACATAAATCAATTGAATGTAAAATAACGGGAAAAGATATTCCATGCAAACAGTATCCAAAAGAGAACAGGAGTGAGTCTACTAATATTAGACAAAATAGACTAATTAAGACAAAAATTGTTATAAGAGACAAAGAGGAGCATTATATAATGATAAAAAAGTCAATTCACCAATAAGATATAATAATTATAAACATATGCAACAGACAACTGAGCCCCCAAATACAGTGATAATACAAATTACAGAATACAAAAGTATAGACAAATAGATCGATGGAACAGATTAAAGAATGGTACTGGAACACCTGGACATCCACACGCAAAAAGTTAATCTAGACTCAGACCGTAAATGCTTTACAAAAATTAACTAAAATGGATTGAAGACTTATACGTAAAACTCAAAATTGTAAAAACTTCTGGAAGATAACATAGAAAATCTAGATGACCTTGGGTTTGGCTTTTTAGATACAACACCAAAGGCATGATCCATGAAAAAAATAATTGATAAGCTAGGCTTCATTGCAATTAAAAACTTCTCCTTTGAAAAAGACATTGTCAAGAGAATGAGGAGATGGCTGTCTTCTGGAAAGAAGCTATTTGCAAAAAACATAAATGTTTCATTTTGGATAAAATAAGAGGGAATACTCTTACACTGTTGATGAGAATGTAAATTGGTACAGCCACTGTAGAAAACAGTTTGAAGTTTCCTTAAAAAACTAAATATAGAGTTACCATATGATCCAGCAATCCCACTCCTGGGCATATATCTGGAAAAGACAAAACTCTAATTTGAAAAGATACATGCATCCCAGTGTTCATAGCAGGACTACAGTAGCCAAGACATGGAAGCAGCCTAAGTGTTCATCAACAGATGAATGGATAAAGAAGATGTGGTGTATATATAT